GATCTGATTGATCTGGATCTGGGTGATCTGATTGATCTGGATCTGGGCGATCTGATTGATCTGGATCTGGGTGATCTGATTGATCTGGATCTGGGTGATCTGATTGATCTGGATCTGGGTGATCTGATTGATCTGGATCTGGGTGATCTGATTGATCTGGAATGGAAATCTATCAGACTTAGGTATGGTCCTGCTCATGGGTCGTTTCCAGCCCCCAGCTTTCAGGGCGTCTATCCCTCCGTCATCCTGCTGTTTCCCCAGAGAACCCTGTTGCCATGGTGACCTCTGAAAACAGACCTTGGGGACTTTCAGCCATGTTTATTGGCTCATTTTCTCTGTTCTGATGTGTCTGTCTTCTGAACTTGTGTATCTAGAAGCTATAGATCTGGGATGATGAATTCCAACATCAGCCCCTCCCCCCGCTGCTCTGACATCAGAGCGCCTCCACCTGATGGAGCAGACTGACCTCCTCCAGCGCCTGCAGGATCTTGGACCTGAAGGAGACGGAGGCGCAGAGCAGCGCCAGCAGCCAGAAGATGAGCAGAAGTCCAGAGGACTGAACGCCTTTGATCCGATCGTACTGGATGATGAAGGTGGCCAGCAGCTGGAGACACAGGGACAGGCAGACGTCAGCTCAGCAAACACAGCCTTCCAACCACACAGCTTCTCTTACCATTGTGAGTCCCAGTAAGGTGGGACTGACGAGGTGGACCGGCGCCGTGGTGCTGCTGCTGTAGCTCCTTTCCCAGAAAGAGTAGAAGACATCTGACCAGCAGATCATCCACAGCAAGAAGCCCAGAACCTGCAGAACAACAACCACATCCTCTGCTCACTGCAGGTGGTAGAAGCAGCACGCTCCATCTATGCATCAAACATCCCGTCAGGACAGGGACTCTGTCCCCTCAGAAGACCCTGTCCTCCTCTAAGGAGCCAGCAGCTTTGCTTTGACGCCAACAGCTGGCGGCAGCGACCATTTTAAACTCACAAAGGTTTTTTTAGCTTATTGTGGGTTGAAAGCTTTTGTTTCTGCTGCACTTTAACACAACGGTGAAAGAAAACACAAGCGTAGCAGTTCTTTGAACGAGGCCCTGATGAGCCGCAGGAGCCCCACACAGGAAGGCATCCAGAACTTTTCAAAATAAGAGGACTGGCTTGTTTTCACAGGCCTCACAGGAACACTGGTCCAACCCAACAGACCACTGGTCCCAGTAATGAGACCAACCTAGCAGGCTGATGCCTCCAGCTGGTTTCTATGCAGATCAGGCTGCAATGATCAACAGATGATCAATAATTCACGCATCAGGCTGCGACCATATTTGGACTGTCAGGAAGCATCTGAGCTCTAAAGCTGCGCTCAGATTTAACCTTCTGGGCCTCCAGACGACCACCATCTTTGTTCCACAGAGAGACTGGGATTGATTTGCTTTGATGAGTTGGAAAAAAAGAGAATAACGCCCATAATGATAATAAAAATAATATAAAATCCAATATTTTTCATCAGCAGGTTTAATGTGGGGCGACAGTGGTGTTGGATGGAGGAGTTTGCCCTGTAATCGAAGGGTTGACGGTTCAA